AGTTTTCCACGAGTATTAATAAAAAATGGAATTTCATTTGTTTGATTATTTTATAATCACACTGATGAAGACTAACCAGATCTTTCATTGAAATTTTCCCTTTGACTTATAGAGTCCATCTCAATAGGGAACTACATAGAACTGGCTCTGTGAAGGACGTCGTGGGTGGTCGGAGGGTGTCACTGAAATAAAAAAATGTCTTGTTTCTGTTATCTCCCCTCGTTGTTCCATTTTGTTTGTCTTGCTCTTTCCTTGCACTAATTGGTCTTTATTCGGTCGACGGGCCTCTCTTTACTCAAACAAATAATCGATCGTTCCAAAAAGCAAAGACACGGAGAAAATGATAGGTAAAATAGTATTTTATTCATACATGTTACATTCAACATAGGAAGCAAGGGTATCTCCCTACAAAGGTAATATGATACAGTACTATCATAAGAATGAATAAGTTAAGACTCGCATTTTATATAAGTATAAGGTAGGAGAACATAATATCATTATACATAATCATATTATTATGATCCTCGGTTTGAAGGAATTGATAGTGGAAACTCACTACTTCCTGTGACACGAAATAAACATACATTGCATCATATCACCCCTTCACATTCTCGACTGCTCACTCAAATACTCATTCCCTCCCTCACCTTTTATGTAGTGCTTGTCAAACCTTTTATAGCCAGCGCCCACTTTTAGCAACCTTTACGCAGCTAAAATTTTCGTAGGGCCTATCATTATGTGGGCCTATTTCCAAGCTCGCCGTAGATAGCACTTGTTACTACCCAGGCGATCCCCACAAACCTCCGGCCAGAATTACCAAATCGTTCACTTGTGGGTGATATCTCCCATTAGGTTGAAAAGCACTTTCTTTTTTGTTTTAGGAAGTGTTTTACGGCACTTGCAAGACAAATAGGTCATGTAAGTCCCCAAAAATTAGAAAACTTACAAGGGAGGGAGAAACACAAAACAGAAGGAGGAGAAGTAAGGAAAATAGATGTTTGATAGAAATGAAGAGTCAAACCACACCAGAGTACCCGCAAACCATCCACTGAGCACATCTCCTATGGACACACACAAACAGGGCATATGGATGAAACAGGAGTGTGAACGCCTTTTTAGGGTCCAGATCTCCCTCCAGAGTTAAGAATAGCAATAAGTAGAGGTACGTTATGCACAAAATGAACTTACACAATATTAATTTTGTTCTACCTTCCCTTCGGCTGGCAGACACACACGCACTCATGCACGTACGCACGCACGTACGTACGCACACACACATACACACACACACACACACACACACACACACACACACATTATCATTATTTTGACGAGCGCCTGATTCCACCACGCTGCGACACAACAAATGTTTAAATCCCAGTACACAGCATCTTACATCTCCGACACCTCTACTAACATACTATTAGTACTTATCACTATAGAAGTCTACTGCTCGAAGACTTTACCGTTGTCTGTGGGGTAGTGGTTAGGTGCTTTGCCATCGCACGAAAGAGACGTACCGTGAGATCAGTTTCCTTTG